CTGGGGTGGTGCGGGGGGGGGGGGGGGTCAGGTTGGTTCAAGAAAGGGGGACAGAAGTGACTACTGTCATCTTGTATCCTCCAACTAAGACCTTGAAGACGGGGAAGAATTTTTTTGGACCTCAAACACTTTGGCTGCTTTGTGTTTACCGGTTGTAGGGAGTGTCCTGCTGTGTGGAGGGCAACCTTACCAGAGCCACTGTGTCCTGTTATAATCTGACTGACTCACCAAAAGTTCAAATCCAGCTCCTCGTTTTCACATGTTTGGGACTATAATAGAAATCTTGGCAGTAATGTCACAGACAATGTAAAGTTAGGTTTCAGAGAAATTAAAATATACATTTAAAAAGTTTTGTGGTGTTCTGGTTATGTTGTTCTGGTTATGTATGAGGAGCGGGAGCTGTGACAGGAAAGTTAGCTTGTTTCTGGATTTCATCTTTATAGCTCGATCTGCCTTGACAATACAAAATATCGGGAATGACCACAAAGGAAAACATTTGGCACAAGACCTGAAACAAGAAAAATGCTCTGGTTCATAAGCTGCTCCATACGTAGCTAGGAACATAGATTAGTACATCACTCATCTACAGTTGTTTGTTGTTGTTGTATCTCTTATATGCAAGCTGTTTCAGCACTGTGTGCATTTTCTTCATTTCTAGTTATATGACCACAACATTTGTAATAGAAGCCATGGCTGCAGCTAATGCTCGACTGCGCTGGAAGAGATGGGAGAAGGAGGAGGTGAGTTCCCTGTTCTTGGTAGGTGACCCGTATTTGGCCCCAGATGCAGGGTAGGTGTATAATTTCCTGTGTAACATCGGTAAGTAGCCTCTTGACATTCAGAGGCTTCAGTTGTGACCCCTCTACTGCTCCAGCTCCTCCAGGGAATGTTTGGTGTATTATTATTATTGTCTTTTTTTCATACCTGTTTGTCCAGCAGGTCTTAAAAGAAAAAAAAAATGAATTCATCCAAATATGCATGAGAGGCATGAGCCTCTGCTGTGTGTGTGTACATTTCAGCTTGAGCTATTGAGCTCTGTAATCGGATTTCTTTGAATAAGATGTAAGAAGGAACTAGAGGATTAGTAGTAGGGATGGCTTAATCCCATATCATTTTTATTTATTTTTTGCTATCCCGTCCAGTTAAGGTTTCATTTACATTCCTGCCCCAGAGACGCAACAGGGAGGGAGAGCAAATCTTAGCAAAGTGAGGGGAAATCCCTCTTGCACAGTTCTCACCATAATGGCTGTCTCTATTGGAACATTTCCACTCACCTCTTGTTTTGACGACAACTCTATCATTTTGGATTTCCAGTCACTTTCTGCCTCAATGAGTGGGGTCACAAGCACAAATAGAGTGGATGCATTTACACAATGGGGACACAGACAGCAGTGGAAATTTGACAAGGGTTCTAATCCTTATCTACTCTGCCCCAAGCTAAACAAATATTGGCTCTACATACATTTTAATATGTCATATTTAATAGCTACGTGATTTAAAGGGTTATTTAAACCCTCAACTTTACATTCTCTTTAAATACTGCTTTTATTTTTTGTAGAACAGCTCTAAATATATATTTTAGTAGCGTTCATGGCAAACCGTCCCCATGGGATTAAAACAGATTCTGACGATGACTTCTTTATGCAGACAGCCCCTAATTTATGTATTGTCCCGATGCTGCTGGTTTGACATTAGACTTGTGTCCTCTTCTGTAGGAATTGGATTCATCTGAAAATTCTGATAATGAATCTCTGTCTCCAGATGGGTATGACAGCTCAGAAGTCCGACCTATCCTTTCTGTGCGTGAGTATTTATGTCTCTTGTATCAAGAGCTGGGGTGAATTTCCATATTTCCATAACCTCTTTTCTTCTTCTTTTTTTTTTAAAGATTTTCTTTTATATTTTAAAAATATCACCGATGCACATTATTTTTTTATTCATTTAGTTTTAATATCTTTCAGAGCGCCGTGGTTTATCCGACTCTTTCGAAATTGTGGAGCGAGTGGAAATGGGGCAGATGGCGTCAATGTTTTTTAATAAAGGTGTGAATTATTATGTGACTAGCTTTGGTGTAGATCACTGCAACATTTTTAGAATGCATTGCCACTTCGCCACAGTCATTTCTGTTTTAAATTATTAATTGTCAATTTTCCTTTGGTAGCCTTTTTGTATTCCAGCAGGTGGAGCTAGATTACTATGAAAAGATGTTTTATTTATAGTGTTTGTTTCCTAGCACAGGACAGCGGAAATACATATTTTATAAGCTGTGCGGTGTGATAATATATAATCTGCACTGTAATATATACCGTAATCGTCCGTATTTAACCCTTCCCCTGCCAGGGCCATTTTTTTGTGGTGGGGTTTTTTCATACATGCTAAAATCCACATTTTAGACCTGAGAAGTGCTTAAATCCCCCCTCCCAGAGTTATATATTTTCTGAAAGCAGAGACCCGGTAGAATAAAATGGTGGCAGTTACAAAATGTTGTATTTTGCATTATATTAGTGCAACTGTTTATCAAACCTCATATTTCAGTAAAATATATATTTAAGTTCATTTTAGTGCACAAAAATAAAATCTAATACCCAATTGTTTGATATAAAAGATGAGGTTTTACCGAGCAAATAGATATCCAACATGCCAAGCTTAAAAATAGTGTGCGCTCGTGAAATGGTGAAAAACTACGGTACCCCCAAATTGTCCATAGGCGAGGTTTTAAAAGCCTGTACAGGCCATCAGTTTAGTTAACCACCCCTAGAATTGTTGCTATGTCTGGCATACACAGTGATACCTAACACGCGTGGCATGCATGGCTTCGTTTTCAGATGTAGGTGCACCCTACGCATGTTTCTGTTTAGTATGTGCATGTACGCTGGGGCGGGGGACTTTACATGGGTTTTTTTCTTTGGGTGTTTTTACATTTATTTTATGTAACTTTTTTCAGACCCTTTTTTTTTTCTTTTTCAAGGCTCCGATATAATAGCACTGTACTGATGACAGGTGCTCTTTAAGGAGACACATAGGGGTCTAATGGACCCCTAATGTCACCTCTGCAGCCAATTGACCTCTCTAGGTGGGGAAAGACAGTCCAGAAGCTGGAAGTGATGAAATCCTCAGCACATCTGGTATTATTCAACGGGAAGGAGAGTACCAAACAGATGTTAGCTGGTCTCTTTCCCCTCTACCTGCCGACCCCTGCTATGCAAGTCCTGGGTTTACAGGAGCCTGGAATGCAGGAAAAGGGGTTTGGGGGGGGGTGCAGGCGACGGGGGGGGGGGGGGGGGGGGGGGGCACACATTTACCGGCCTGTGGAAGTGATCAGGTGGCTTTACAGCTGCCCAAATCACTTCCAGTGTAAAGCAGACAGTCGGCTTTGCACATGTTAACAGTCTGTTTACAGGAGCCTGCTGTTGCCAATATATGACATATGTCGGTGGCAGCGAAAAGGTTAATGGAGACAATCTTGGATCAGTTTTTAGTGTCCACAGGTTACCAAGTGTTTTTCTAGATAAACATGATGATGCTTCATGTGATAACAGGCTTATAAATATAAGATATCTATAGGGTGTGATAATCCACTGCTTTATTTCTGTAACACTGCAGTGATGGATTTAGCTTGTTATAGGCATTTTGTACTATACAGTTGGTTCACTTACGAGGTCTACACACTCCTGGTGGTGCAAGATGCGTCTGTTTTTTTCATTTTTTAGGTGCTGGAGTATTAAAGCTTTTTGGTTTTGTTGCATGCAGTGTTGCTAAAGGGACAGCAGACAAGTCCAAGTACTTGTTGGTTAGGGGAGGAGTAATAAGAAACTGAAGCTGCCCACACACCTTACAATTATCTGCAGATTTTCTGTGGTCAGATGGAAAAGGTGCAACAGATTCCTCCATCTACACTTAACTGTGTGGTCGGAGTAATCTCCACCTGGGCCAATCTGTTGCACTTTTTCCATCTGACCACAGAAAATCTGCAGATAAATTGTAAGGTGTGTGGGCAGCTTAAGAAAATATCCATGGGCCATGTCCTGCCAGGCCCCTGCTGCTTGCAGTTATAACTGGGATTGTGCTGTCCTTGCCTTCCCCAGCCATATTAGTTATTCCACCTTAAGTATGGTGTGGCCTGCTTGCTCCATTGTCCAATGCAGCAGGGGTTAAGTAGATGTTGCTAGAAGGAGGAGACTGGTTGTTATGCGCAAAAGAAAGCTAAAATGCATTTAGATGTGTTTGCATATTGAAGTCTATTGGAGAAAAAAATACAATATGGAGCACCTTTTTTTTCAAGTCGCACAGTAACACAACACATGGACTTCCAACAGTCCCCATAGAAAATAATGGGATTCCTCTTGTCTTTGACAAATCGCACAGGTATGAATGGCTCTTTCATGAAATTTGGAAAAAGATACAAGAATTACCTTGTATTGCATTGTGTTGAGAGGAGTGCAAACCTGGAAAAGGGTTAAATCACCATTTTTTTTCTTTTTTATTTCTCTCTAGACAGAGTAAGGAAATATGCAAAGCCATTTTTACTGTGCCCTACAGCAATAAAAACCTGACGGAGGTTCTAACATTCCCTACTCTTATCTAAAATGAAAAATGGCTTTAGATGCACTTTAAGATCCACTTTAACAGTGCCTTTTTTTTTTTTTTTTGGCAGTATAAATGAAATATAATCTTGCTTGTCTCTGTTCATCAGACAGATTTATATTTTTGGTGTTTTTCTGCTTTCTCTACAGTTGGTGTAAACCTCTTTTATTTGTGCATAATTATATATCTTTATGGAGACCTGGCAATCTATGCAACTGCTGTACCTCTGTCGCTTGTACAGGTCACATGGTGAGTAATACTGGGATGGGAATAAAGGAAGTAGAGGGAGTGAAGATTTGCCATGTATAGAAATGTGTTTCTTGACTCATCCGTTTGTTAAAGTAGCATTAAAGTCTCTTTTTTTTTTAACATAGATCTACTGCTAGCAAGCAGTAGATATATGGAAAAACATTTTTTTTAAAAAGTTGTCAAATGGACAGTTGCTTATCTCTGCCTGCCCTGCTCGCTCCAGGCTGCAGTACACTGGTCCCGAACGACAGTAATGGAGGATGATGGGGCGGGCGCATGCGCAGTCCATGCCACTGGTGAGGATAAGAGGAGAGACTCAGGAAAAGTGAATGCATGCAACTGGGAGCATGCATGCCAGACAGGCTCCTTGGGACTGGAAGAAACGGCAGTCTGCGCTGGATCAGAGACTGGCACCAGCGCTGGAGGGACTCCTGGAAACAAGTTGAAGGAAAAAGATGATCGGATCAAGAGGTTTCACTAAAGGCAAATCCTTACAGCCCAATTGTAATGGGGAAAAAAAACTCTGACTTTAATGTCACTTTAACTTAACCTCTTGTGGCATTTTCTTTCCATGGCCTCCATTCAAGAGATAGTCAAATGTTTAAAGGTAAAAACCAGGTAATAGGTAAAAGGTAATAAATGCACACTTCTTTAGAAAAAAAAATTAGCATTAATTATCTTTCTGCGTTGAAGCCAGTAAAGCAAGGGTCACTAAATGGTGGATCGCGGTCCTTTCCGGACTGCGAACGCCAATCCGCTCCGGTGCATCCACTGCCAACCATAACAAATGTGTAGGCCCCCCCTCCGTTTTAGTCATTGGTTGCTAGGACCGCTGGCATCCTGGCAACCAATGACATCAGATAGGCAGGGCCAGCTTGTCAACTTCAAGTGATCTGGGCGGCTGTACAGCCACCCAGATCACTTATACTAGCCTGCTATCAGGGCACCCCCATGTGGTTTTCGGAGTCCCCTGCTCCTCTGGGAGGGTTCGAGACTATGGCAGAGGGGGGAGAGTAGAAGGAACCGGGGAACATCCGTCCTCGATTTGCTCTGTGATTAATGAAGCCTGGGAACACACCAGCAGCTGTGCGATGTAGTGCAACTGGTGGTGTAAATGCAGCCTAAATGGCGGACATGTACTGAGTGACCAGTCTGTCTGTCTCGCAATTCAGACCTCGGCTCGTTGAACATTTTACTCACTGGACCTTCTTGAATTTTAATTCACTACCACTGCAGTAAAGCATTGCAGCTGTGATCAGCGCAACTTGGATGCAGTGCTCTAGCTCTTGCAGATTCACTCTCCTATCCATGTCTATACTGAGGCACGGACATTCGGTAACGTGAATGGAAGAAAGAATGAATGGGACAACAAGTGCAGTGACGTGATGGGACTTGTAGTTTCTCCATCCACAGATCCTGTGAAAGCATCCGTGGATGGATGATGTAGCTGGGTGGGCTTAGCCATGCACAACCACACCAAATTTAAAAGTATTCAGCAGCCTGCAGGGAGAAGAACCCCACGATTCAGGTAAGGGGGGGCATTGTGATGCAACCATGTTTTATGTTACACCCTGAATGAGTGTAACGTGAAATTCATGTAACGTGCATCTGCTCCCTTTTTTTTTTTTGCCTCTTTATATTACTGTTGATTGGAAACTTGTGAAATACATCACAGTTGCTCAGCATACTCGGACACCTGTGTACACTGGAAATTGTGTGAAAAACATATCTGATTCTAGGCCCACCTTATTAGCCCGTTGATGTGTATTAATATATCACAATGTGTTGTTGTGTCCTGCAGCTTCTCTGTGAACGGGTCTTGTGAATCTGGGACAGCAGAGATGAATGATACACAACCATGTTGGGGGAAAATTAGACGAATTGATGCTTATAGGATATATTTGGTGAGTTGGACCTTCCCTTTGTTGTAGCAGTAAGGTGATGAGAGGTTTCTATAATGTTTCTTTCCACATTTATTTATAACAATTGTTGGTGTTCCATGTATTTTTTTAGTATCCTCTGCTAAATAAAAAAGACACGTCATACTAGACCTAACCTCTGCCAGAGATAAGTAAAGAGAATCTCTTAGCTGTTTGAGGACTTGGGGGTTTTATTACTGTATGAGGTCGGTGTAGTGTTTACTCTGTATAGAGTCGTTAATGGTGGGTGCCAAATCGAGCTGAAATAGGGGAGGTGGGACATGTCGATGATGATCTTACAAAGATAAATTGCAGACACATTACAGAACCCACTTCTGCTGACGCCCACTTCTCATTACTAACCAGAGCAGTTAAACCATGATGTAATGACTTCTCTATTGTATAAGCATGTATACTCTATGGCCTAAACGTTTTGGACACCTCTTCTTCAGGTGTTTCCAGTTGAAGGGTACAGTTAAAGGAGAACTATGGGGTTAGAGCTTTTCCCCATAGTTCTCCTTAGGGTAACGAGAGGACACAAACTAGCGTCCTCCGGTCACCCTAAGCTCAGTATACCGCGAGCTGTAGCTCACGGTATACTGAGACGCCACAGCTCGCGGTATACTGAGACGCCACAGCTCGCGGTATACTGAGACGCCGCAGCTGAAGTGGATCCCGACAATTATGTCTGGATCCGCCCAGCTGCGTGAGTGACAGCTGGATTTGCCTATCTAGAGGCAGAGCCAGCTGTACCCGCCCCCTCCCCCGTCCGTTCCGCCAGTCAGCGCTGGAGGATGGGAGGGGGGAATCCAGGCCATCCCCGGTCACGGGAGAGAGCCGTGACAAGATCGAGAAGTGAGCGAACACCGGCATGTGTTCGCTCACTTCCCCATCTACTGAGCCGACCTGTGATAGTCTCATTGTCACAGGTCGGCTAGAACTATGAGGTGAGTGAAAAGCACTCACCTCATAGTTCTCCTTTAACGCTACAGTATACAAATACATTTTGGATAATTGCGTTCTTCCTTGTGGCAACAGTTTGAGTAAAGCCCCTTTCTGTTCCAGCATGACTGTGACCCTGTGTATAAGTAGGCTCCATAAAGACATGGTTTGATGAGTATGGTGTGAGGGAACTTGAGTGGCCTGTGAAGAGCCCTGACCTCAACCCAATTAAGGGATAAATTGGAATGCAGTTTACAGACCAGTTTTCCTTATCCATCATCAGTACCCCTACCACACAAATGCTCTTTTGGCTAAATGGACACACATTTCCACAGGCACACTCCTAAATCTTGTGGAAAGTCTTCCTAGATGAGTGGAGGCTGAAAGGCCAACTCCATATTCATGCCTATGGTTTTGGAATGGGATGTCCAACAACCTCATGTAGAGTGTGATGGTCAGCTGTCCACAAATCTTTGGCAATATATATTATATGCATGTGTTGCATAAATTGTTTTAAAGGTCAAAGTGAAAGTATTCAGGGGTTGCATCAGGTGGCTGTTTCCAACTGCTATCTAATATCTCACTTAAAGGATAACTGTGCTTTATAAAACCCTTTATTAATACATCCAGGCAAATGAAACCATTTTGCAGATTTAACCATTTAATTACCTGGCATTAAGGGTTCAAGCCAGTAAGAGGTCCTTGTGTTTACAGTAAAAGAACCAAGGGGGATAGTAATAAGTTCTGAGACTATCCCATTCTTTATTGCCTGTGAAGGACTTGCCTCCTAAACAAAGGAAATGTTGCAGGTCAGTGACATGCCAAGTAATAAAGCAAGGATAGCGATGAAAGCCCTGAAGCACAGACTGGATAGTCAACAGTACCCATTTGTATAGTTTGATGAGTTCCCTTTTAGCCCTGTATGTCTGTCATATTTTTCAGGAGCTGTCAGGTCTATGTGTGTGCAAGTTCCTTCAAATAAAATAGCTCCTGTATCACTATTAATGTATAGGTTTCTAAAATGCGTGCTCACAATCGGCTGGCAAAACACCACATAAAATATTCTGAGCAGAGGTGCCCCTGTGTTCAGTAGCTTCTCTTTGTGTTTTGAGGAACTTCTACTTTCTTAGTCTTTAGTCACAGGCATTGTGTACCCTGGCTTGTAGAAGCCGGTCTAAAGGTCATTGGCCACTGACTCTTCTCCTTATCCCCCTCCTTCATTAATAGTATTCAAAATAACTATGAACCATAGATGCAGGTCTCCGCTAAGGGCTAAGCATTATTTTCACCCTACAGGTGTTGTGACTGAGCTACCAAATGCAGTATGAGCGACTACCTGATAGCATATAGAAGAGAATACAAGAATATAGTAGGCTTGGGTGTGTAAAAGCGTTTTTAAAGGAAACCTACCCTTTAAAGGAAACTTAGAAACTTATGGCAGTTGCCATCACTGATCTTAAAATGCTAGTTGCTGGGCTATCTCTGGCTTCAGCACATTGACTGAGAACAAGCGTGCTGCAAGAGAAGTCAGAGTTTGTAACCGAGACACTATTGATGTCTTGAGGAGAGAAGTATGACAGCTAGCATTTTCAAAAGGGGGCGGGTTTGGTAATGGCAGCCTCCATGCTTTTCTTAGTATGTGTCCTTTAAAATGGACCTGAATGCAAAAAGTAAAGATTTACTATGTTATAGGAGACAACAAGAAATGTTAATTGTGCCTAAGGAGTACCCTAACAGATGTACTTTTTGTCTGAAGTGCCTCTTGAAAAATAATGTGCACTTCCTGTTATGTGAGGATGCCTCGCTAGGCACTTGTGTGCCTACAGGCTCAGGAGATTTGGGGTGAGATTTGGTGATGATGAGATTTACTGTGCTGCTCACTGTTCTCTTTGCTGGAGTCTCTGACTTGAGGAAGCAAAGCCCTGCTTCTACCAAAATGGCTGTTTTCGCAGAGATACAGTGCAGAACAAAGCATTGTAAGTCAGTAAAGGGGAAAGATCACCGGCAAGGAGACCACAGGTAATACTGGTGACTAACACCGTTTAGTTCCTCCTTTAACTACCTCCCGGCCAGCCGCTGTGTATACACGGCCTGCCGGGAGCTTCTTGGATGTAACTGGGCGTGTATACATGCGGCGCGCGCGAGCGGGAAATCCCCGCTATTTGAAAAGAGGCAGCGATGCCCGTTAATATACAAGCGATCCGCCGGCTATAGAGCCGGCGAATCGCTTGTATGAAGCCCCAAGACGAGCTCCCTCCGGTCCCCTCTCCGCTGTCAGAATGCGGAAGTGTTGTATATTACATCACTTCCGCATTCTTGTGTCACTCTCCAGCTTCAGATGCTGGAGAGAAGCTGATGAAGCAGATCTCTGCTTCATCAGCTTCTTCAGGGGGGTCCTAGGTGACATTAGGGGTCTTGGAGACCCCCTGATGTCTCCATAAAGAGGACCTGTCACCTCTTTTGCTATCACATAAGGGGGTTTCTCAGCCCCCTCTGTGATAGCAATAAAGTTAAGGGAAAAAAAAAAATAGTACAAAAATTTAAAGTTTCCCCCCCAATTTTTTTAAAGTTACACAAAAAAGAATTTAAAAAAAAAATTTTTTTTTAAAGTCCCCACCCCTACATACACGCATGTAAACATGCGTCAGGTGCGCATACCTGCGAAAACGACGATTGCACCCATTACGCCGCACATGTTACATATCGCCGCGAACGTCGGAATGAGAGCAATAGTTCTAGGGCCATCAATCACTGATAACACTAAACTGATGAGCGGTAAAAGCTTTTAAAGCGTCGCCTATGGGCTATTTTGGGTATGCTAGTTTTTTGCGATTTTGCGAGTGCGCGCAATTTTTACGCTTGACATGTTTGGTGTCTATTTACCCGACGTGACCCCGTCTTTTATATTTTACCAAAAAAGTGGGTAATATTAGTTGTTTTATAGCATAATGTAAAAAAAAACTTTTTTTCTCAAAATTTTCAGTAATTTCTCCTGAATATAGTAAAAAATAAAACCCGCAGTGGTGATTAAATACCACCAAAATAAAGCTCTATCTGTCCCAAAAAATGGTATAAAATTAATTTCAGTACAGCGTTGCGTGACGGAATAAATGTCAGTCAAAGTACTGCAGCGCTGAACACTGAAAAATGGCCTGGCCAGGTAGGGGATCTAAACACCTGGTCTTCAAGCAGTTAAGGATACACTTTAGTTAGAATTTAAAACTATGCCTTGAGATGCACACAAGCCATCCAACCACACAGTACACACCACCCAATCGAGGTCTTTTGCTTTCTTGTTTGTGCTGCTTAATATTATTTTCTGTTGATGTCTGTGGCTTCCTGTCCTGTTGACAACTGTTCCTTCTTTTTCCTTTATGGGTGTCACAGGGACAGGTAGTCCAGGCAAAATCTGACAAATATCTTCGAACTCTTCTCCACTCTATCCTAAACTGAAGAAAAAGGTTTGCTTGGAGTTGGGCTTTAAACAAAGAACTTGTTTGTTATAACATCATTACTCTTTGTTTTTCAGGCTGTATTCACTCTGCTTCTCGGCCCATTTACCTTTTTTAATGTGCAAAAAACAAAGTACCTCCAGATCTTAACTTCACTAATGAGATGGATTGGTAAGTGTGAAAGATGCAATCTAATTATTCTGTGTTGAAATATTATGTTCATACTTCTTTTTTTATAATACTTTCACTGCTTACATTTGCTTTTGGAAACTAAAACATTTAATTCTCTACAGCAGCACTAACAATTATAATAAAACTAGTAGACCCCAAATCTTTTATTTATAGACAAATGATTCTGTTTTGTGAGTGTTTAAGAGAGACAAAGCGCTCATTCCCATTGGTTTTTCTGTGGTGCATTAACTCAGACGCCACATATTAGTAGATTTATGACATACATTTTTGATACTTAAATTGTGACTGATAGCTTTAAGAGATTCAGTCATTGTGTGGAAGCGGGTGAGCTGCTGCAGGTATGAAGTTCAGGCACCTCCCTGTACTCAGGGCTGCCTTTAGAAATCATGGAGCCCTGTACAGTCTGCCTGGCAGGCCCCAGGGCTGCCTTTAGAAATCATTGGACCCCATACAGTCTGCCCAGCAGGCCCCCCGAGCACCACTTCTTCTCTACAGCTTCAATGGCCTACTTGACAGGCCCTCCAACACTTTAGCGCCATTTCATCTCTATGGCTCTGACTTTCAATTATTGTAGAATGTACAAGCAGTAGGAGTTGAGTCATCTGATGTACACTCCATGACTTAGTCAGGCATGAAAAGGCAAGAGCAAGACTCTGATGTATAAAATCTATTTATTAGCAGCTACTGGCAGGACATTGTATGCACACTCGGGTTCCAGCGTTGACGAGACCCTGGCATGATGTCGTTCACTTCTCTCATGCACAAGTGTTTGTAATACAGCTGGAAATATCAAAAGTCCTGTAGCACTACCTTACCGGAATTCCCATAGGCAAAAATGGGTGCTCGCAGTAACTGCGGATGGCGCCGCATCAAGCAAAGTTTGTAAAGAAATGTCGCCAGCACACCAGCATGACAAACACGTCAATTTCAGTGAATCTTCATTTTTTTTATTTTTCAGAAGTCACTCAAAGTAGAATCAATCGCTTTCGGGGCCGCACAGGGTCCCCTTCATCAGGCTTAGAGTGAACATTCTTTACAAACCGTAATACAGCTGGGTCCCCCTGCTGACCTGATAGGGCCCGGGCCTGGTATGGGAGGACCAGCTCTATTGGCAGCCATGCCTGTACTTTCATCCCAAACCTTGCTGTGTGGAACAAATGCCAGGCCATTCTGACATGAAAACCTCCACACACCCCCTATCCCTTTCCCATTGACATAGTCTCTTTAAAGTAGCATTAAACTCTCAAGGGTGTCTTCATAGGACCCTGCAAGGGAAAGGAGACACCCTAAAACAGGATATCAGTTCCAGTGCTCAGGTGACCAGCAGGGGATTCTGCAGGAAGCTGAAACATTTAAACATCAAGGAGCACCATCCATTACAAGTGACTCGATTAGCATTTGAAATAGTGTAAAAACCTTTTGACTTTAATATCACTTTAAATTTTTCCTGCAATCAAGTATGTCCTTTAGAAAACCAGTTAAAAGCAATATATTGAACCATCACTTGCTTAAACCATGAGGCCAGCAGTTCAGGTAATGATTTAAAACCCAATAACTTTTAAAATCTCCTGCCTGAATGGAGAACTATGTCAAGATGGCATTTATAGACCGCAGTGAAAACGGCAAGCACAGAGGCCATCACTACTGACATGTAATATAAACCATAACACATTTAATTATTAGATTTTGATGGTATGTGTTTAAAAGCACAGGTACTACTAGTATCGCAAGTGACAGCCTAGCATATTGCCATTGGAGCAGAGTTGTAAATCTTTCTTTTTCCATTGCTCAAGCATGTTAGTGTTACCTTCATAATCTGCTCCATTAGCTGCTTCAAACATGCCCCCTCCTTTTCCAAAAATGTGCAGCCTGCACAGACTAAACAGCCCTGTTACTGATATGTACATTTAGACTGCTTTTCAAAAATCAGCAGCTATGCCCTCATCTAAATACAGTATCTAATCTCGCCACTTGGCCACTGTGGTATGTAGGAAGTATTGACGTATGACTACCCCATAGAGGACAAGGGTGTCTGATGGGCGGGCTGTAAGTCGTTATCTGGATTCACGTTGCAAGAGACAAGATGGAGGCACCAATAATTGCCCTGCTGTACATCACACTTTATTAAAGTCGGAGAACTCCGGAATCGGTGACATCCTGCACTGCTCCCCAACTCAGCGGCCACTCATCATCCCAAGATCTATACCCCACTCCAATAATGACACCGTGCTCCTTCCCCCCAGCTTCAATTGCCCTGATGTACATAACACAGCATCAACTTCAGCTCCCAGAGCTCCAGAGGCACTGACATCCTGCACTGCTCCCCGGCTCTGCTGCCGCTCCTCATCATCCCCAGGTCTATACCCCACTCCAGTAATGACCCCCCCCCCAGCTTCAATTGCCCTGATGTACATAACACAGCATCAACTTCAGCTCCCAGAGCTCCAGAGGCACTGACATCCTGCACTGCTCCCCGGCTCAGCTGCCGCTCCTCATCACCCCCAGGTCTATACCCCACTCCAGTAATGACCCCCCTTGCCCAGCTTCAATTGCCCTGATGTACATCACACAGCATCAAGTTCAGCTCCCAGAGCTCCAGAGTTGGTCACATCCTGCACTTCTATCCTGCTCAGCTTACACTACTCAGAGCCTAGACCTCATCTCCTTAACATCACGCAGATCCAGTACTGCTTGCGCTGACAATGTGACCATCAGCAAAGGTTCCTGGGTCTGAGAAGCAGATGTTGACCTGGAGAACAGTGTAAGCCAGAGGTAGCCAAACTTCGACCCTCCAGCTGTGTGGGAACTACAAAACCCCTTCATGCCTCTGGAAGTTATGTCAGAGGCGGTCAGTCTTGCAATGCCTCATGGGATTTGTACTTTCACCACAGCTGGAGGACTGAAGTTTGGCTACCCCTGGTGTAAGCTGTGACATCCTTTGTGGATTTAATCCAGATCTGCGCAGTAATCTAACACGAATCTACTCCTGCACTTTGATCTGTCACTGGTGCAGGATGACTGGTCTTGTATCCACCCCTTTAGTGTTTTGCGGGCATCCTGTAGTGGATGGACCTGCTCATCCACAGCCCTGCTCATTGCACAGGCTTTGTACAGCACAGTGATACTACAGCTACTTTTAAAAGGTAATATTTGTGTTTTGGAAAGTGGATTTATATCATTTATGGCTATTGGAGAATATATTTTTAGATTGTAAGCTCTCATGAGCAGGGCCCTCCTTACCATCTTGTTTTGATTTGTATTGCAACTGTAATGTCTTCCTTATATTGTAAAGTGCTGTGCAAACTGTTGGCACTATACAAGTCCTGTATAATAATATATATTTTCATGGAAGTTTTTGTGCCCGAAGTTAAGCTTTAAATTTACAATGACTTTCCTTTTTAAATATGAATCTATTTCAAAAATTTATATGAAAACAGAGTGATTGAAAATGTTATATTGAGTTAATTTACAGGATCTGTCCCCTGTCATATGAAAGGGAAGAAAAGTTATAAAAGGTCTCTCTTCTTCTCATCTTATATGATATAGAAACTCATTTTCTTGCAACTTATAAACTTTTGCTACCCACAGGCAAAAAGAGATTAAAACCCTTGAGCCAATTCAGAAACCAAATCACGTCTGCATGTCACATTACACATCCTTTCGCCCTCCTTTCCACAATGCATGCACCCTCCCAGGGAGCCCATGCCTAATGTAGATACTGCAAACTTGTAACCCTATGCTGCTCATGCTGGCAGCGAGTGGCTCTGTCCTTGCAGCACTGTGGGAAAGAGAGGTGGAAGGTGTCAAGGGCCTCCTTCTCCAATTGATTTATGGAGCGAGTAATGAGTTTTCACAGCTTTACTGCCACTTTGTTCTCATCTGAGTCCCTGTCATAAATCCTAGAGACAACAGTTTAACTCTTGACCGCCCAGACGTGTAAGGTAGAAATAACTGGTAAGGGGAGTAACTGCAAGGGCACAGTGTGACCTAGAAGGGAGACGTTGAGTAACAATATTATCTGCTTTTTGGTAATACAGCGTAACTGAATAATCTGTTTTACTTTACTGCAGCTTTCATCATCATGATCGTGATAGCTTTGGTCCGTATTGGCGAGGGTAAAGGTGAAGGTCATCCTCCTGTTGCAGACACCTCTGGGATCCGGAACCTGTTTGGCGTCTGTGTATATTCATTCATGTGCCAGCATTCTCTGCCTTCACTGATCACCCCTGTGTCCAGGAAGAAACACTTAACCGGACTCGTCTTTTTGGACTACACATTGGTTCTTTCATTTTACAGCCTACTTTGCTTCACAGCTATATATTGCTTCTCCTCTGGAGCGCTCATGGACATGTACACTCTTAACTTCAGCGGGTGTAGGCCTTTTGTGCCTCAGGTGATTGGCTACTTTCTGGGACTGTTCCCAGTGTTCACTATCAGCACCAACTTCCCCATCATTGCAGTCACATTGCGCAATAACTGGAGGACTCTCTTTCACCGTGAAGGAGGGACCTACCCATGGCTTGTTGACCGTATTGTCTTCCCATTAATAACTCTGGTCCCTCCCATCATTGTTGCATTCTGTACCAACCACCTTGAAATACTAGTGAGCATTACAGGTGCATATGCTGGCAATGGCATCCAGTATGTTATCCCGGCTTTTCTTGTGGCCTGCAGCCGTAAAGACTCTTCCTTAACATATGGACCCGAACTCGCTAACAAGCATAGGTCACCTTTCAAACAAGTGGGTTGGGTGTGGTTTGTCCTCCTATGGTCACTAACATGTTTTATATATGTAACGGCCAACATAATCCTGACTGATGGTAGCCTATAAATATTGCATACTGTGCTCATCTTGGACCTGACGAGGCTACTTTGTGCAGGACACAGTAGCTGGCCTTCAGTTATTGACTATCAGCACTGCAGCTTGTTCCTGATTTGCTTTTAAAGCCGATGAAGCTACGGGGCTGGCCCCATTCTCGCTGGACGTTTGATTTGTCGATGACGTTGTTGTAATGACCCTAAACAAGTCTGTAGCGTAATCTGTTGCCGGAAGTCACAGACGGTTAACTCTTTCATAATCAATCTTTCTGTGCCTTTTTCCTTCACCATGCTAAGCTGGATCGTGGAAGCACTGCCAGTCCTTTTGCATGTCTTTTAGCTCCCTAGCTCGTGATGGACGTTTAAAATTGCCTCAGTTTACAAAAGGGGAACCCTGGCACATATAGTGTCTTGCATACAGTTATACGTGTCACCTAATATCGAGGAGAGTTGCCTGGTGGATTTTGGAAATGTGTATCAGAAGTGATTTCCAAAGATCCTCACTACTGTCTGTAAAAAGATCAGCACTGAAAACGTGCTGCTCTATGTGCAATGTTATCAAACTAAATAAAATGAAGATGTTGGACATTCATTGGGTTTGTTTAGTTGAAGGAAAGCTTTTGTTACCCAAGCAAAACACCACCCTTTCACAGTATGTTCCCAGCGGAAACTCATTACAAATGCTGCTGGTTCTGATTAGATTTCTCCCCGCCCCCACCCCCCCATCTCCCTCCTGCAGGAGAGGTGATTTATGAGTACATTATTGTCTGGCTTGATGAAATCTGTACGTGACACGGCATTGCTTTGTTGTACACAATGCCTGTGTATCTTCAAACATGCTCTCTGCTGTGGGCTTAAGGTACTGAGATGGAATGCATGTTAGGCATTGATGTTTAAAGGGTAACTGCGCTTTCAGTGCAAATCCCTACGTTGTCCTGCATGCCGTATGGGGGGGAAAAAACTAAATGGGTCTCTGTATTTTACATAAAGAGATCAGTGTTATTCCCCCACCACACCTTTGGTTCACATCCTGCTTTGCTACTGAAGAAGCTACTCCTGGCCACCACTAGAGGGAGCTCTGGGAAGACAGGAGAGAGGCTCAACATATGCACGCTGCAGGGACAATGACAACTAAAGTCTTTTAATAACCTAAACTGGAACTTTACCCCCTTTCACTAAAAAATAAATATCAACATGCAGCTCTGCATGCTGATGGGAAATTATCTTATTAGTTAAATATATTTTGCTTTTACTTACAAATTTTGCTTTCCCACTTCCAAGTCTTCTTGGGCATTAGTAATTTAATGTGCCCAAGTGTTGCATCCTGGGAAGGTTACATCAGCATTGCTGGGAAACCTCATCTGTAATCTTACAAGATCTCAGGAAAAGGCATTTTCCTCCTCTGCGATGTTGTGCATGGTCACATGTTCCAGGAAGTAAAGGGAGATCTAGTAACCTGCCATTAGTAAGAAGAATGAGGAGGAAAAGAAAAATAAGGTATGCAAAGAATACAAAGCTGGCAATTATCTAGAAGTATGTGTTTGTAGATTGTCATTACTAAACATTTCTAAAGGTGCCTTTTGTTGTCATGTTAAAGCTATGGGTAAAGTTCCTCTTTAAGGACTTGAACTGAAACCACAGGTGCTTTGTAGTAAACCTGCTATAATACAAATTTGGGAGCTGCCTTTGGTGACTTTTATATTGGGTGCTATATTCTTTGACTTCACTACTTGACTACAGATGTCGAACGAGTATGCAGCCAATGCACAGAGCGGTATTGGCCTGCATGCTTATTCAAGGCCACAGATTTCTGATCAGGGAAGCCACAGGGTAAGCATGATAGCCAAGGGCACCTCCCATATTTCTTTATAACAGGTTCACTTTAAAATTCTTCCCTTTGGGGTAGACAATTATTTTAAAGATTTATATTGGTTTAAAATGACTGATCCAGTGACTGATTACTTGTGCAATTTAACTGGAATCCCCCCAAAATACCCTTTGAGGATATCTGGGGACTGGAGTTAGGAAGTGCTTATTTATAGTGCAAATATTTAACTTCTAAACAATACATATCCTTAATATACAGTATGCAATATCTCTAAATCCTTAAATAAAGGAAGATGGCAACATTAAAAAATTAGCTTAGCGTATCATCATTTGGAGTATGCTAAAAATTGTTTTTAGATAACTAAGAAAATAATGTATTGGGTTATCTCATTGCTTGAAGGTAGTATTAAACTCTCAAGCTTTTTTGAATAATGAACCCAGATCAAACAAAGATACATTGCCCAGCAAAAAAAATTTTTACATTTCCAAACAGCTCTAACTCTCTCAGCTCGGCTTCGCTGAACTTCCTGTACCGTACAAGATTACACGAGAAAGAGAAGTCTCCATCAGCTGTCCATCTACCAGCTTGGAGAATGGAAGAGGGAGGAAGTGTGGAGAGCAGGGAGGCGGCTTGATGCATTAAGGGGTGGGAGGGGGCGTGGTGGTGCCATTCATGTCAATGGCATCGCAGGCACGCCCCCTGCCCGCAGTGCAATTGTTCGCACCGGAACAGGAATGCCCTCCGATCCAGTCCATTGCGATCTGAAAAAACTGAGGGCATTCCCGTACCTCATGTTCCGGTGTAGGCAATCGCACTGCATTGATCGCATCGCGTTGACATGAATGGCCACGCCCATGAACACAGGAAGCCGGCCGGGATGCACTCTAGTGCGTTCCAGCAGCGAATTGTGCTGGAACACACCGGAGCTGTTGTGAAACGGCCCTAAAACAGGACTAGAGTTCCCACCTTGGCGTATTTCCGCCCGTCCCTAACGCGCTACAAAACAGCCCACGCCTGAAAAGGTACAGGTACTACTTTGGGCCGTTTTGTTGCGCGTTTTACTGCGAATCACGGTAAAAAAGCGTGCGACGGTCGCGCATATGCAATACGCCTAGGTGTGAACGAGACCTTAAACCTTTAGGGCTTGTTCACACGATGTCCGGATTCTGCCCTGACCAGAACCGTGCCCTCCTGCACCCAAAATGCATCCCAATGTCTCCCTATGTGTTTTATGGACTACAGTTCTCACCAGCGCAATCTGTTCCGGTCCAGACAGAAAAAATACTGCATGCCACATTTTCTCTGGACCGGAAACGCACAAAGCGTCAAATGCAATGAAGAAACGCCTGAAAACGCACCACACCAGCTAACATACTGACAGCCCCACTCCCACTGGAATGCTGTAAAAAACGCACTGCACGCATAGCACTGCACCTGCAGATCTGGCCCAGAAAATGGTGTGAACAAGCCCTTAAGCATCCATTGTGAATTTATCGGCATTTGAAATGACTTAAAAAAATTAATTCTGACTTTAATATCACTTTAAAGCGTTAATCTATGCAGGGAAGAAACAGACGATTGCTATTGTACAGAGGGTGGACAGAAGAATGTGAACAGTATTATAGGGCTTAATTTTGTTTGTGTAGGCTACATGGGAAAAAATGTACAAAAATGTTGATCGTCTTGTTTATCGGTTAGACCAAGTGGTCAGTAAAATGGGGGACATCAGGCTTCCAAACAGTTCAAACCATTGGTGCTCATTTAGCTCAACCGTCTGTAACTATAACCGCCAAATTGTTTGGTGTTTCAAGAGCAACAGGTTCCACGGTTTTGGCTGCATAAACAAAGCATAGCAAGATGATGTTGAGGAAGAATACTGGCCAAAAACAAACTAAATTGTAGGGTCCATTCACATCAGCGCATTTCAATAATGCGTGCGTTACTGCAATGCATTGTAATGCTTATTAAGCATGTCTGTGCAGTGCCATTTATTCTGAAAAGTGCATTTTCGGCCCATTCACACCAGTACGCTGCAATAAAGTGTGCATTACTGCCCTGCATGTTAACGCTCGTTAAGCGGGTCATTGTGCTGCAGCGCCATTTGTTCTGAATGTCACCCCAGCACACCTTCCCATGCTGCGTGCACTGTTTTTAGTCCATTGTGTAGTGTTTTTTTAATTTTTATTATAGCAGAAGAGACCAAAATCTCCTACCTATCTGTCAGCAATGTTTACTTTCTCTGTGCACTGAGCTGCGTATGCTCAGCTGAGTGCACAGGCTTGGCATGTCGAGATAAAGTAACCCCCATGTGCATGCGTGGAAGTTATTTCATGCAAGCCGAATCACCGAACTGGAAGAAGATCAGAAGATTGCAGCGACGGAGGAGAGCGCGGAGGCAAATCGTTTACAAGGTAAGTTGGCCATAATTGCTAATATGGTCCAACTATGGTGTTTATGGCAAACACCACCAGCACTTTAAAAAAAAAGAAGAAATTACAAATGAAAAAATAAATATATATATATATATTAACCCACATGTAACACTTCCACACACACTTAAGAAAAGCAAACATTCATAAATACCATATTTCACCAACATTAGATACATTTACATGCTAAGGTTTAAGAATAATTTACAAGTTGTAATAATCAAAAATATTGAGGTTTTGTTGAACTTTATTTAGAATACACTTGATGCGGCGCATCTGATTGTGGAGCATTGCAATTCACAAAAATTATGTCAGGGCCCATATAGTTTATTAGACGGTGTGAATAGGGTTCCCGTTTGGCACCTTGAAGCTAAAAACAAGGACATGGGGGCATGACCTCAAACCTGCAGGAGGAAAGCTCAAAACCAACTGTAGAAAGTTTACAATAGAAGCGATTATTCTGGCGGCTCAGCTGCCATCAGATTGCTGCTACGATCCTGTAACCGGGCTGGGACGCCCCCCCTATGCCATGTTTGCTGGACTCCGCTGCCCCTCTGGGCCCAGGACCAGCTTGCCGGGTGTCGGTAGGAAGCTGGGGAGGAGATCGGTGAACGTCCATTCACCGATTTCCTCCTTGTACTATGGGATCGGGATTGACACGTATTGCATCACTTCCGGTCCCATAGCTGTCATTCCTGGGCTCCTGAAGCGATCTGCACTTCAATAGCTTATTTAGAGTGTAAAGGTGCTTTTTAATCGATTAATTTGGTTTAATTATAACACACATACAGATCCAACTACATTGGTCTATACACATACAGCACAGCAATGAAGTAATAAAATGAACTAGGATCACACTAATCCAGCACGTTATTAATCTCACGTGCCCCACTCAATATGGCCGCCGCTTGAGTGGGGCAACTCAGAATAATAACGTGCTGGATTTTTCACCAGACTACTCCCCCCTTCCCTTCGTTAGCCATCACGGACATCAACGTCAGCGGACGCCTTCCCCTTCCCTTCGTTAGCCGACGGAGCCACTTGGGGAAGGGGGAGGAGTCCGGGAACGTCAATGTCCGTGACGTCACCGGATTGCCGACAGGACTCCCGGAAGCCGGCGGAG